TCTCTATGTCACTGATGATGGAAAAGCTGAAGTGAGACGATATCGAAGAGGAGAATCTCAAGGAACAGTGGTTGCAGGTGACAATGGAAGTGGAAATCGTCTCGATCAACTCTCTTACCCAACATACGTATTCGTCGATCGAGATCATTCAGTGTACGTATCTGATGAGAGAAATCATCGTGTGATGAAATGGATGGAAGGTGCAAAACAAGGCATTGTCGTGGCTGGTGATCAAGGAAAAGGAAATGGTCTTACACAATTGTCATCTCCTCTAGGAGTCGTTGTCGATCAATTGGGCACTGTCTATGTGGCTGATTGGGGGAATGATCGAATCATGCGTTGGCCTAAAGGAGCCACACAAGGAAGTGTCATTGTTGGTAGAAACGGTAGTGAAGGACAATCGAACCAACTCAATGGACCCATCGGTTTGTCATTCGATCGACACGGGAATCTCTATGTCGTCGATTGGGGAAATCATCGAGTACAAAAATTCAATATCCATTTAAATGTGTAAGAGTTGTTGAAATGTTTTTTATCTGAAACGTTCAATTGAATATATGAATAGATTTTAAGGATGATGATGAACGGATGTTTAGTCTGATTTCATGAAATAATATAAGCGAATATTGATTGAGCGAATAGTTAGTATTGGATGCAGGTGAGAACACTTACATGTCATTTACTGCTTAGATGTCGACTTGAATGCATGTTCGCATTGTTGAGAGAGAGTCCACCAGAACGCTTACCATAGTTTCTATCTGTCAAATTGTATAGTATTTTGTTTGTGCACTAGATCGATAGAGCATACTAAAAAAATAGGAAAGCCCAAATATTCTGTTTTCAAAATTACGTTTCCAGAAATCCAATCCAAAGAACATTGATATATGAGGAAAATGATCATTTTATTCTCAGTTTTAGTATTTAACGATTTTCTTATTGTCTATGAATTTGAGGAAGTTGGTTCATATACCTTTGGATAGAGGAGATAAGAGACTATAAACCATTTTATTCTGGATCCATTTGAACTTAGAGAAGGTTCGCTAGGTCTGAAATACTTCAAATAATTTTACCTATCTTGAAAATGACGATTCTCATAACTATTTTGGATATTTTGACATGCGAATTAAGAGATGCTATGATTTGTTTTGTAATTTACATTCATGATATGGTATGATACAAAAAGAGTGACATTTTTATAAAAAAGACTATATAATTATGTTTTATTTTAATTCATTTAGTCACCAAAATTAATAACTGATTCATGTTCAGTAATAAAACCTGAGTCAACAAGGCATAACCTCAGTTTATTTTGAATATCTAGAGAAGTCACTCGGATGATCACTTTCGAGAAGTAACAGATTGTTGATGATGTGCTCCCATATGGTCTGCCGTTGTATGCATTTGAAAAGAGTAGTAGTTAATCTGGTAGAACTTTGCAAATACTTCAAAATGCACTATTTTAATTTTATTGGTAATTG